TACCCATGAGCAACTGGTTTTTCTAATTATTTAAATCTGACTTTATTTGTGTGAAAAGTGTTTTGTAATTGTGTTCATAGAGTTCCTGGGTTTGTTTTGGCAGGTAAAATATTTTATAATGTCTACAGTAACTTTAAATGGAATTTCTCTTTCTATCTCTTGCTGTTGGGCTTTGTTGGCAATATATAGAAATGCCAATGATTTTTGTGGGTTTATTTTACAGCTTGCAACTTTGCTAAAGTTGTTTATTATTTCAAGTAGTTTTTCACTTGATTCTCTAGGATTCTCTAAGTATATCATCATATCATCTGCAAAGAGTGATAGTTTTGTTTCTTCTTTGCTTGTTCTAATACCCTCAATTTCTTTTTCTCCTCTTATTGCTAAAGCTAACATTTCTAGTATGATATTGAACAACGTTGGTGACAATGGACATCCTTGTTTCACTCCCAATCTTACTGGAAATGGAAGTTCTCCTCTAAGAATATGGATGTTATATCATTTGGTGCATATATGTTTAGTAATGATATTACTTCATTGTCTATGGTGCCTTTTAGCAGGATGTAGTTTCCTTCCTTATCTCTTTTGATAAGATCTACTTTTATTTTTGCTTTGCCTGAGATCAGGATTGCTACCCCTGTTTTTTTTTTTTACTTCAGCTGAAGCATAATATAACCTGCTCCAGCCTTTTACCTTTCTTCTGTGTGTATCCCTCTGGTTCCAATGTGTTTGTTGTAAACAACATATTGTAGAATTATGGTTCTTAATCCACTCTGCTATCCACTTCCATTTTATGGGAGAGTTCATCTCATTCACATTCACAGTTAAGATTACTATCTGTGTCTTTCTCTCCATCCCATCCCCCCATTTATGCTTTTCTCTCTCCTTTCTCCCTTTCCCTCCTCAACAGAGTTTTGCTTTCCACTACCACCTCCCTCAGTCTACCCTCCCTTCTATTCACTCCTTCCCTTTTCACTTTCCCCTCCTACTTCCTATAGGGTAAGTTAGATTTATATACCTAACTGATTATGTTATTCCCTCTTTGAACCAAATCTGAGGAGAATAAGTTTCAAACAATGCTCATCTCCCTTCCTTCTTTCCCTCTAACGAATTAGGTTTTTGTGCCTTTTCATGTGATACAATTTACCTTTGTCTGCCTCCTCCTTTCCTCTTCTCCCAATACAATCCCTTTTCAGCACTTAATTAGATTTTTTTTATCATCACTTCAATGTCAACTTATACCAATGCTTGCTATGTATACCACTTTTAAATGGTGTACTAATAATATAGTTATAGGGATGTTATTAATAACATGCTGTTTTTTCTTTCCTGTTTGCCTTTTTATGCCTCTCTTGAGTCTTGGATTTGAGGGTCATATTTTCTGTTGAGCTCTGGTCTTTTCATGAGGAAGGTTTGGAAGTCCTCTCTTTTTTTGAATGTCTATCTTCTTCCCTGAAAGATTATGCTCAGTTTCTCTGGGTAGTTGATCCTTGGTTGTAATCCAAGCTTCTTTACCCTATGCCACTCCCAATCTTTTAACGTAATCTGCAATGTAATCCTGACTGCAGTTCCATGATATTTAAATTGTTTCTTTCTGGCTGCTTGCAGTATTATCTCTTTGATCTGGCAATTTTGGAATTTGGCTACAATATTCCTTGGCATTTTCATCTTGGGATCTCTTTCAGGAGGTGATTGGTGGATTTTTTCCATGACTATTTTACCCTCTGGTTCTAGAATTTCAGGGAAGTTTTCTTTGATGATTTCCTGAAAGATGTTGTCCAGGCTCTCTTTTTCATCATGGTTCTCACAAGTAGACCAATATTTTTTAAATTGTTTCTCCTGGATCTATTTTCCAGGTCAGTTTTTTTTTTAACCAATGAAGTAATTTACTTTTTCTTTTATTTTTTCATTCTTTTGTTTCTGTTTCACTGATTCTTGATCTCTCATAGAGTCATTAGCTTTCTTTTTTTAAATTTAATTTTACTATTTTTTATTTCTTAATTTTTAACATGTGTTTTTAAAAGTTTGGATTACAAATTTTCTCTCTTCCTTCCTCCCCACCCACCCTCATTGAAAAGGCAAGCATCTCGATATAGGTTATAGATATGTAGTCATGCCAAACACTTCCATAGTAGTCATGTTGTGAAAAGCTAAGTATATTTCCCTTCATCCTATCCTACTCCCATTAATTCTATTCTCTCTTTTGACCCTGCCCCTCCTCAGAAGTGTTTGCTTTTGATTATCCCCTCCCCCAGTCTGCCCTCCCCTCTGTCAACCCCCTGTTCTCTTGTCCCCTTCCCCCCTAATTTTCTTGTCGGGTGAGATAGATTTCCATACCCCATTGTGTATGTTATTCCCTCCTTAAGTCAAATCCTATGAGAATAAGATTCACTCATTCCCTCTCACCTTCCCCCATTTACCCTCCACTTAAAAGCCTTTTCTTGTCTGTTTCATGTGAGATAATTTACCCCATTCTACTTCTCCCTTTCTTCTTCTCCCAGTATAATATTCTCTCACTCCTTATTTTTATTTTCCAAACATCACCCCTTCATCTTCAACTCACCCTGTGCCCTCTATCTATCTATACATACATATAATTTTTTCCCCTCCCACTAGCCTAATACTGACAAAGGACTCATGATTTGCAAATATCATCTTTCCCTGCAGGAACGTAAACAGTTCAACCTTAATAAGTCTCTTATGATTTCTCTTTTCTGTTTACTTCTTCCATGTTTCACTTGAGTCTTGTATTTGAAAGTCAAATTTTCTATTCAGCTCTGATCTTTTCCTCAGGAATGTTTGAAAGTCCCCTATTTCATTGAATGACCATTTTTTACCCTGAAAGATTATACTCAGTATTGCTGGGTAGGTGATTCTAGGTTGCAGTCCTAACTCCTTTGCCCTCTGGAATATCATACTCCATGCCCTCTGGTCCCTTAATGTACAAACTGCTAAATCTTGTGTTATCCTGATTGTTTCCACAATACCTGAATTGTTTCTTGCTGGCTGTCTGCAATATTTTCTCCTTGACTTGGGAATTCTGGAATTGGGCTACAATATTCCTAGGAGTTTTCCTTTGGGGATCTCTTTCAGGAGGTGATTGGTGGATTCACTTTCTATTTTGCCCTCTATTTTGATTCAATTTCTATTTTGCCCTCTGATTCTAAAATATCAGGGCAGTTTTCCTTGATAATTTCTTGAAAGATGATGTCTAGGCTCTGTTTTTGATCATGGCTTTCAAATAGTCCAATAATTTTTAAGTTCTCTCTCCTGCATCTATTTTCCAGGTCAGTTGTTTTTCCAATGAGATGTTTCACATTCTCTTCTATTTTTTTATTCTTTTGGATTAGTGTTACAGTGCCTTGATTTCTCAAATTGTCCCTAGTTTCCAATTTCTCCATTCTAATTTTTAAGGAAGTATTTTCTTCCATGAACTTTTGGACTTCCTTTTCCATTTGGCCAATTTTGCTTTTTAGGGCATTCTTCGCCTCATTGGCTTTTTGGACCTCTATTGCCATTTGTGTTAGGCTATTTTTTAAGGTGTAATTTTCTTCAGTATTTTTTTGGGTATTCTTTAGTATCACTCTCAGTTTTTTCTCTACTTCTCTTACTTGCTTCTTAAAATCCTTTTTGAGCTCTTCCATGAGCTGGGACCAATTCATATTTTTCTTGGAGGCTTTGGATGTAGGAGCTTTGGCTTCATTGTCTTCTTCTGGTTGTATGTTTTGATCTTCTTTGTCACCAAAGTAAGATAATATAGTCTGACTTTTTTGCACTGCTTGCTCATGATCCCTGCCAATTACTTGAGTTATAAACTCTTTGTAAAGGTAGGGGTCTGTTTGCAGTGTGGAGAATGTACTGTCCCAAGCTTCAGGGGTTTTGTGCAGTTGTTTTCAGAGATACTTCTAGGGACCTGTAAATTTTCAGATCTTCCAAGCTGCTATGATCAAGGGTGATGTGTTTACTCCTTTCCTGGCTTGTGCTCTGTTCTATGAGTGACCACATGCACTCTTTTCTGTCTTGGAATTGTGAGGAGGATTTCCTTTCCACAGCCACTACAAGCTCCACCACTCCAGAGCTCCTCTTCACCCCAGCACCGCCACCCAGAACCGTGACCCAGATCCAAGCATGGGCAAAGCAAGAGAATCCCTCCTCAGCACTGGCAAAGAGATCCTTGACATCCTCCTCTGATCATCCACTCGATTCCCCCTTAGTCTGTGGGCCAGAAGCTCAGGAGGTAGCTGCCACCCTGGGGCCCAGCTCAGGGACTGGGGCTGGAACCCCACCTTGATTCTCTCTCACCACAGCAGAAATAGACTCCTCTGAGGCCTGCTCCAGGTTCGCTGCAGCCTGAGCTCCTACACCGAACTTCACTCCTCTCCCAGCCTGGCTTGATATACCTTTCCAATCAACCATACATGTTATCTTGGGTTGGAAATTTGTTTCACTCTGTCTTTTGTAAGTTCTGCTGTTTTAGAATTTGTTTAGAGCCATTTTTTTATAGATATTTGGAGGGGTTTGGGGGAAAACTCAAGCAAGTCACTGATTTTACCCCACCATCTTGGCTCCGCCCCCCGAGTCATTAGCTTTTACTTGCTCCATTCTAATTTTTAACAAATTGTTTCCTTCTGTTAGATTTTGTACCTCCTTTTCCATTGGCCCATTTTAAGGAGTTTTTCTCTTCAGTGAATTTTTATGCCTCCTTTTCCTCTTGGTCAATTCTACTTTTTAAGGAGTTGTTTTCTTTCACATCCTTTTTTTTTTTTCCATTTGGCCAATTGTATTTTTTAAGGACTTGCTTTCTACAGTTAATATTTGTCCTTCCTTTTCCAAGTTATTGACTCTCTTTTGCATACCTCTCATTTCTTTTCCCAATTTTTCTTCTACCTCTTTTATTTGACTTTTAAAATCCTTCTTAAGCTCTTCCAAGAAGGCTTTTTGGGCTTGAGACCAGTTTATGTTCCCCTTTGAGGTTTTTGATGTGGGTATATTGACAACGTTGTCCTCTTCTGAATTTGTTCCTTGATCTTCCCTGTCCCTATAAAAAGAATCTATGGTCATTGTCTGTTTTTGGGTTTTGTTCATGATGTTTGCCTATTTCCTGACTTAAAAAAAAAAAAAAGAAACTGAGCTCTCCTGCTGGAGTGAAGGGGACACTTAGCCAAGTTTCTTCTACTGCTTACCCGGGTCTTATATAGGGATATTTTGCTGTTGGAGGATGTCTGTCAGCCTGGAGCTTTGCCTCCTGGAGTTGTGCTTCCCAGAGTTGTGTTGAGGAATTGTGGGATTTGGCTGCTGGAAAAGGCCATAGTCTATGATAGTTTTCTGAGCTGGTGTCTACAGGTTCCCCTGCCTATACTGAGATTTTCTGGCCTGTGCAGGTAGGAAGGGGAGGGTCCTGGTGTTGGTACTTGCCAGCTCCACCACCCTGGGTCTCAGGATATTCCCCCTGGTATGTAGAGGTGGGACTTGCCCCTGGCTTAGTGGGTTACCTCCCATCCTGTACTGCTCTTTCTCCCCCAGAGTGAGAGGGTCCTTTCCAGTTAATCCCCCAAGCTTCCTGGACTACAAGACTGCTGTGCCCCATCTTTCTGTTGGCTCCGCTATTCCATGTCAATATTTTCTGGGTTTTCAGAGGTCAATAAGGGAAGGTGAGTGTGACTTACTTCTTCCTCTGCCATCTTGGCACCTGGAAGTGGAACTCTTACTGTTAAAGTGATAATGGTAGAACTCCAATATGGAGTCACTTAGGCTAAGTGGTCCTAAGGCCCATAAAACTATGGTCAAAGTCAAATGAGATCATACTTTTCCATTGTTCTGACCTGAATTAACTTTGTGTCAGGCAGTTAATACTCCAAGCTTCTGACTAGATAAAACTTCTGTCCAGCTTCAGTTGTAGGAGAGTCTGGGTTCACTTTGGGAGATTTTTCTTGTGTCTGGTTCTTTACTCCCACTCAGAAGAACTAGACATTGAACCATTGGATACCTCTCTGCAAACACTTGCAAAACTCAAAGAAGAAGGAAACATTTACAAGTCAAAGAGAACAAATAGAACTTGTATCAGAGCTCAACAAAATGCTGCCCCCTGACAGTGGGCCCTTCACCAGACCCTGAACATCCTCAGACACTTACTGTCCTGTAGGGCTCCCAATTCTGCAAATGGCACCTGCTGCTAAGTTGAATTGGGTGGTGGTCATTGTGATTCCCCTTGTCTGTCACTCTGCAGATCTTTCAAGATCCCCGCAGCAGCAGCCTGTCCTACAATTCTTAGGCCTTCTTGCTCTGCTTTTGTTTCTTTTCAGTAGCCAGAAGAATAAAACTATTCATCGCCTCCCCCTCCCTCTTTTGGGTGGTCTCTCTGCCCCTAGAGAGGCATATTTTAGAGTTTCCTTGTTGCACGAGGCACTGGTTCCCCCCAGGTTTCAGTTCAAACACAGCACCAGACCTGGATACCTCTGTTCCAAAGTCCCTCTCTTACACTGGTTCCTATATTCTGCCCCTTTTGAAACCTCTCCTTCTTCCCTGTCCCCCAACTCTGGAGTCAATAATATATCCTACACTTGGAATTCCTGAACTGTATTCTATTTCAGTTGGTGTCTAGATGGAACATGGACTCTTGTCCATTTCCTCTTAGGCATTCAATAGCATGTTCCCCACCTTCCTCAGCACTCTTTGCCTTGAGAAGCTCCTTTATTAATTTTGTTTTGAATAGCATTTTATTTTTTTGGATTACTTAGAAAAAACATATTTTTTTTGCATTCTTTTTATTAATTCCTTTGATAATCTTGACCTTCTGTTCCTCCAGATGAATTTTATTATGATTTTTTCTAGCTTCATAAAATTTTTTTTAGTAGTTTGATTGATATGGCACTGAATAAATGAATTAATTTAAGTAGAATTGTCATTTTTATTCTATTGTCTCATCCTAACCATGAACAATTGATATTTTCCCAACTGTTTAGATCTGATTTTATTTGTGTAAAAAATATTTTGCAATTGTGTTCTTATAATTCCTAGGATTGTCCTGGTAGGCTGACAGCCAAGTATTTTACTTTGTCTACAGTTACTTTAAATAAAATTATTCTATCTCTTGCCACTGGACTTTGCTGATAATATATAGAAATGCTAATGCTTTACTTTATATTTTGCAACTTTGGTAAAGTTTTTTTTTTTTTTGGCTAAGCAATGTTGTTAAGTGACTTGCCCAGGGTCACACAGCTACTAAGTGTTATGAATCTGAGGCTGGATTTGAACTCAGGTCCTCCTGAATCCAGAGCCAGTGCTCTATCCACTGTGCCACCTAGTTGTCCCTTTGCTAAAGGTTTTTACCTGGTTCTCTAGGATAGGGGTGGGGAACCTGTGGCCTTGGACTGCATGTGGCCCTCTAGGTCCTCAAATGTTGCCCTTTGAATGAGTCTAAACTTCATAGAACAAATCCCCTTAATAGAAGGATTTATTCTGTAAACCCTGGTCTCAGCCAGAAGGCTGTACCTAAGCACCTAGAAGGTCATATGTGGTCTTGAGGTCACAGGTTCCCCACCCCAGCTCTACAATTCTCTAAATATACCATTATATCATCTTCAAAGAGTGATACTTTTGTTTCTTCATTGCTTATTCTAATTCCTTCAAATTCTTTTCATTCTCTTATTGGTAAAGCTAACATTTCTAGTACAATATTGAATAATAGAGGTAATAATAGGCACCCTCATTTCACCTCTGATCTTATTGGGAAGGCTTCTAGCCTATCCCCATTACATATAATGCTTCCTGATGGCCTCTCACCTGGGAATGGCTGGAGCCTAAGGGAGCAGGCTGGAACAGTCGGTTAGGGGAGGCACAGGGCTCTGAAGCATGCAGAAAAAAAAAAACAGCCAGAGGCACAAAGCATCAGGTATGTAGAGTTTGGCAGAGAACAGAGGTGTGCACAGGATATACTTTCCAGAACCAGGTCAAGAGAGGGGCCTTTGCATTTTCCTCATAAAGAAAGGTGAGCTCAGTCAAGGGGGAATTCAGAAGATTGGAGCAGAAACAAAGGGAAGAGGACTCACCAGACTGAGGAGGGGGTGCTGGACTCTGGAGAAATCTCTGGTGGCACCTAGTCCACTCCCACTGGTACTGGAGAGTCCAGTGACCCAGTTCCATGTCCAATCCCACTTCTGACACCAATTTATGTTAACCAGACCACAACTAGCCTCTAACCTGTGGGTGGTGGGAGCCACACAAAGCAGGTCAGAGGCAGGAGAGTCAAGACACAAATAGAAGTTTAATTTCAAAGTGAGGAAACTCTTGCAAGCAGAAATCCTTCTGAGAAGGAGGGTGTATCATGTGAGGGCAAAGGCAGTGCTTATGTACATAAAGACCACTGGGAGGAGCTGAGTGGGGTTGGATCACAACACAATCATTCTTGGTTCCTGAGTAGCAGTTTCCACTGCAGGGTCATACCCTGTGGAAATGGTCTCCAAGTCAATTTTCTCCCAGGAGGGTACAGAACCAGTTAGTGTGGTGGGAATAGGAGTGTAGTCCTTGGTTCAGTTTACTTAACAGTTAAAAGAAACAGGGATTGTGAACATATCGAGTGGTAAAATGGATGGTTTTAGGCTACAACATATTGGTTCTCCTGTCCCTGGGAAATAGGGGGTAGCGAACACCTGATGCTGGTCAATACCATATACTTTGCCAGAGGCTGGGATTATCCAGAGCACAAAGGATTGCTGTTATTCCAAACTCAGGCCACAGCTTGTTTGCTGAGCCTTAGCTCTGTGAAAAAAGGTGTCCCCAAATATCTTGACAGTTAAAGTTCGTAAATGAGTATAATAGAAATGTTCTTTTAAGGGAAAAAAATCATGTTGAACCACATGATTGTAAAATAGAAAAAGGAGGCAATAGTGTTGACAAAACTGTAGGATTGTTTGTATAGAATACCTTGCATTGTTCTTGAAAAGAGAATTTCTTCAGGATAATCAAAGGACTTGCATCGGTATTATGTCAAATGGGAAACTATGCTTGGTAAAGAGAAGCAACCAGAGTTGTTTGATCAAGAGTATGAAAATTGACGCAATTTAGGGGAATTTTGCAGCCTCTCTCTCGGGCTACAACCCAGCAACAGTAAACAAAAAGCATGGGGGTGTGGGGATGGCTTCTTAGAAGGGCTGACAATTCAAGAAGAAACTTCAGCTTCCAGTACCCAAAGAGCTTAAAATGTCTTTATGAAAACCATATATACTTGTAAGCCCAAATGTGAGAGGAATAAGGCAATCTATCACCCACAATCTGGTAAAACCTCTCTAGGAAGTGCTGTAGAAGGTAGAGAATAGGCATCATTAGAGTGGAAAAGAACAGGAGGTAGGAAAGGTCTGGGGAAAGGCCATGTGTTTGTAGCTGGTTCTTAAAGGATAAGTAAGATGGGAGTGATGGCCAAGAAAAAGGGAAATGCTTTCTGAGTTAAAAAAAAAAAAAGCAAAGAATCGAGTTCAGTAGTCAGTTCCTAATTGTACACAATGAGTTTTGAATTCTTGCCTTCTCCTGGCTGTTCCTAGCTATCTGTTCCGATAGCCTGAACATAAGCAATTCAGAAGTTATATCTGCTACTCTAAAAGATCAGGATACACTCTTCTGAAAGGAATTGCTCTTTAGCAAGTAGTGTGATGGACCAGATAGAACATTAGACTTGTAGTCAGGAGACTTGGGTTCAGCTAACGTCTGCAACCCTTATTAACCATGTGACCTCCATCACTTACCCTCACTTTGTATCACCAGCTCACATGGTGGAAACTAGATATGAAATGATTCTAGTTGTCAGAAGGGCTTCTTGAGAAGTACATGTATGGCAACTGATAGAACAAAGGAGAAAATTAACTCTGCAATTTTAAAAAGTATATTCGGATCATTCTCAGCCTCACCTTGGGCACCTTCTAAATTTTTCTGGTAGCTCTGAATTGAGACTTTTAACTCTTTCTTCTTATCCTCAAAAATCCTCTTTTTCTCCTCAAATTCTTCCTTTTGCTTCTCATATTGCTCATTTTCCTCTTTCAACTTTTCCTTTTTCTTCTTCAGTTCTTCAGTTAGATTCTCATACTTCTGTATGATTTCTTCTCTCTCCCTCTCAAATTGCTCCTTGTAGTGTTGCTGACGAGCCTCTGTGTCTTTCTGGAGAAGCGCTTCCACAGATTCATATATACTGTTGGTGTAGTGGGTACCCCTATTATCTTGCACCATTTCCTCAACCATGGCCATCAGCTCTGAAAGAAACATGGGCATGTCTCAGGGCTCCACGAGCATTATTGTCAAATGCACAGCATCGGTTTTCACACTTCTCCAACAACTCCTTGAAATATGAGTCATCAAAGGTTCTTAAGTAATCCCCTAAACTTTGTTCTCCCAGTTTGTCTTTCCCAGTGAATACAATGATCAAAAACTTCACTGCTTCAGCTCCTAGAATATTATAAAGCCGTTCAATGGCTGCCTTCTCCTCCTTGTTGAATCGGCCGACCGGCAGCACCAGGAGTAGAGCATGTGGTCCTGGAGAGGAGAGTGTCATGAAGCGAGCTATTTCATTTAAGCTTTCTTTCTCAGCAGTATTGGTGTCAAAAATGCTTGGAGTATCAACAACAGAAATGTCCCTTCCATTCCATCTGGTCCTGGCTTTCTTGTAGACTTTGGTGAGTGACCCTCCTGAAGATGTGGACTCAAACTCTCTCCTGCCCAGGAGGGTATTTCCTGTTGCACTTTTCCCAGCCCCTGTTTTCCCCACAAAGACAATTCTGAGTTCTGACTCCCTTGAGTCTCCTCCACTGTTGTCTGGGTCTGTAGGAAAGAAGTAAGAAAGAAGAATGAATGACTGGGTTTTGTAGATGATTGTAATAAAGCATTGCTCAGAAACCCTATCATGACATGGAGTGACCCTTAGGTTCGTGAGGGCTATGTCCATGAAGCACCAGCTGAGATGGGTTCTAACAATCTGAAGAAGCTTTGAGTATGGCCAGCTCTCTGTTGTCCTAGTGAAATTCACAGATGCTTGTCAGCTGAAGGGAGGCCACCACCAGCAGGTGACTTTTTTAAGGGGTGTGAGGAGATGGCATTTCTTAAATTTATATAACGGTAAATTCGTCCCTTCCTCTGGGGCATATAATGAATGAATCATTATTGCTTGTTGGAAAACACACGCATGTATGTACACACTTACAGATAGCCACATTAAACCCAGCTATATTAATAACTGAGGCCTTTTCCCAAGTTTGGATCTTTGTGTGACGTGGAAGTTTATTCCTTCCTCATCTTTGAATCTGAATTACTATTTCATAGTAAGAATTTCAAAAAAGAAAAGCTATTATCACCTCTGAACTCTGAGTGCAGATAGGAGTATATGTTTTTTCACTTTATGTTCTTTTTTCTTTTTTTTTGTGATGACTAATATGCATATATGAATTGCATGACTTCAAATGTTTAATGGGTGTCATATTGCTTGTCTTTTCAATGAGTTAGGTAAGGGATTGATGGAGGCAGAGTATTTGGAACTCAAAATAAAAAAATGAATTTAAAAAGATACAAATGTAATTAGGAATATTTAACAAAAAAATGAAATATAAAATGGAAGTTTTATAAGCCATTCCCTCTAGATTCTGAATTAGCATTTCACATGCAGAATCCCCCAAAAAATAGAAACGTGAGAACCTCTATAAGTCTTTTCCTCACTTATAAGAACAACTCAACACCATTCTCCTTTCACTTGACAGATAATTAGCAAGTTTCCTTTAAGGATTGTCTATTAGTTTTTGTTATTGCTCTTAAAACCAGTCAAGAAAGTCTCTCCATCTTATCCAATTAACTTAATAGATGAGTTCCCATCTCAGCTTAGATGGCTGATATCATCTCAGATCATAGATAACTTTCTCTATAGCTCCCTTGTCAGCCAATCTTGAATAAATGAGGGACTCTTTCAGTTCCATGTGGTCTTCCCCTCAAAGAAATCCTGTGTTTCTAGATTCCAAGACCCAGACCTGGAAACTGAGGTGGAAAATAACACCTTGGTCCTCATCCGTCATCATACTGGAATCTCTACCCCTACCTGCACCCCCTGAACAAATTAGGCATCTCTAGCAGAGATCAGAGAAGCTACTTTTCATATACAAAAAAAGGGAAACTAAGAAGTCACTTTTGGAACCTCCACACTACCCCAATTTAGATGTAGATTTTGGAGCATGACAGTAGCCCACTTCTATCTATAGCCCTCCTAGGGCTATAGGAATAACTTTTAATAAATAGTTTTGGAACACATAAATCTTATGGTTGGATTTCCTTTTTCCCTTTCCTGGTGTAGACACTTGGGTTACCACATAATCATTCATTGGGAGAGACATTTCCCACCAAATGAAGGAAAAGAAACAGGTAAGGTACCTTGAATAAGTCTTCTTCCTTTAAAAAAACTTCCTCAAACACAGGAATATATTTTGATAGTTGCATTAGAATATAATTGGTTTCTTTTGTGATCCCCTATTTTATTTTATTCTTTTAAAAACATTATTCTTCACAGAGGGCATCTATAGGCTTCACCATATTGCTAAAGGATGCAAGACAGAAAAAAACAACAAGAACACCTGTTCTCCAGTCACAAATTACTAGTGAGTTATTGCTCTGCACAGAAGGAGTTTCCATCATGGAATTTTTTCATGACATTGTTATGATATTACTGGTCCAGATTAAAGAAAGACTTAATGTGAAGTCAGCTGTCAACAAAAAAGCTAACAAAATCTTAGTCAATAGCAGTAGGAATACAAAGATTTAATCATGGTAAGTGACAGTCCCACTGGACCTCAAACTAGTCAGGTGCCATGTGCAACAGCATGTCCCAATTTGGGCACCAGATTTGCAGAAGTTTTCATTATGGGTTTGGGAGCTAGAAGGAGTCTGTAAGGTCATATAAGTACAAACCCTTCGTTTGACAAATGAAGAAAGTAAGTGTCAGGATGGTTAAATGACTTGCCCGAAGTCACAAAGGCTAAAAGAATCAGGATTTGACATGAGGTTCTTGGATTTCAATTGTCATCTCGTTCTACTACATTAGCAACTGGAGTTCATGCCAAGGGGGAAAATGAGCAAGGTGGAAGGTGTGGAGTTGATGGCCCAGAAGGAAGAATTCAAGGAATAGAGGATGTTTAGACTAGAGGAGAAAAGACTTGGATAAGTCATGGTCATTGGCCTCAGGTATCTGAAAGGATGCCCTACAGAAAGGGACTGTTCATGTTGCTTAGCCCCAAAGACCACAGCTGGTACTAGCAGGTGTCTCTTACAAGGACAAAGATTTCAGCTCAATTAAAAAGGAAGAAATGTCCTAACAATTTCAGCTGCCCCTACCATGCCATGCGTTGGGAGAGAGTGAGCTCACCATCACTGGTAGTGATAGAAGCCACAGGTTTTATGTACCTGGAATAAAACCATAGCTCAGAAAAATCTAGGGAATTACTATCAACTGGGTACGATTTCAATGGCAAGAATTTTGGCACTTAATTTAATAATTTGAATTAGTAGGTATCTTATCTATCTGGCATTCTTCTGGGAGGGGAGGGATGGAATTTGATTGATCAGAGACGCCATGCTCAATCCCCTCCCACAC